GGTGTGGTACTGTGCGGTGGTGGCTCAAGTGGTGTGTTGTGGTGTTAACCGATTGTTGTGACGTGGTAGGGGTGTTGTGGTGGTATTGGATCGGGATTCGGTATGGTGTTGCAGTGGTATAGTGCAATCGACGATTAGATGGTGGTGGTTTGTGACCAAGATTGGTACTGGATGGGACCGGTGGAAGGGGTGACCATAAAGTTTGGTCTGTGACCTTAAAATTTGACGATCTGTGACCTATAAAATTTTTGATTTGTGACCTCGAAATAATCCGTAACCAATTAATTTGATGATATGTGACTGATAAATAAACCTGTGAAATATGTGACCATTAATTGTTTAACTATGACTTTAATATATTTATTTAATAAATAATTTTAATTAGTTAAATACAAATCTGAATTTTGAATTTTCAAACTTCTTACCTGGCTTTTGAGATGGTGTAAAGAATACACCTTAAATATGAATTTTTCCCGCGAAAATAAATATATCAATATTGGGCTCGTTGGATAGTTCTTAATTAATAACGTATGTTGGGCTCAAGAAAATGTAAGATCGTGTGAGTTAAGCCCAAGTTTTTTCAATTCAAAGAAACATATTTGATATGTATTTTTTTATTACTTGATAACGTACCTTTTAAAATAATTAACAAAAGAATATAATACTTTGTTATATAATTATTTTTATTTCTAATTTGAAAAAGATTTAATCATATCCAAATTGAGTACACGTGCATGGTATATAATTTTGAAAAGCTGTATATTATTATATAATGCAATTTATCTTTGTTTTATCCTATTAAATCTGTTAGTTGATTTAAGTCCACGATAACCAAAATCTGTTTCCTTTTTGCCATGTGGTTTATATGTTTGTTGTTTGTTTTAAAAACCTAACCATGTATATGAATAGAGAAAGGGGATTTGAATTTTTTAAAATTTCATTTCAAATAATTCTTGTATGAAATTTTTATTATGTGTGATTGACTTATCTTTAAATAGAGAATACATCTAATTCAATCTTAATCAAAATTTAAATAAGTTCGCCTTTCTAACAATCTTGTTGGCCTTATTTTTAAGTTCATTTCAAGTCAAAAGAAAACATACACCACAAATATTCATATTCAAAGTTTTATTTAGAATTTTGAGTGAAGAGAGTGTGAGCTGTATTTTCATAAGTATCTTACAACATTTTTTGTTGGTCCAGTAAAGGTAGGATAACATGGTATAATTGTTTTTATCCCATTTAAATGGTTTATTTCCATATTATTGAATTATGATACTTATGAAAGTTTAAAGATATGATATGATATGTATGTTATGGTCATCCGATACTAAAGATATGATATTTATTGAACATTATTGATTTCTAATGATATGTTAACGGTATGATATTTTGACACGTGTATTTAAATATTTTTATTCGGGATTGCATTATTATTTTGTGTCCTATTAAGTAATCCCATATACTCAAATTAAATCTAGTGTAACGTGATGGAACATTTTTAATGTCAACATTATTTTTGGTTTGTTTATTAGGGACTTATTTTATGATTTAAGGCATGATCTAGATTTTGTTTGTCAACCATTTTACCATATTATTTTTTTCTACAGTGTTCATTTTTAACCACACATTTTTTTAACAACAACCCCAATTCCAACAATTCAATAATATGAAACCAGAGATAGAAAACGGGAACTAAGACACAATATATTAATTACAGTAATGGAGTTAAATTACAGCAATTAATTGAAAATAGAAGATACGAAACAGATAAGAGAAGAAAGAGTCTAGAGAGAGAGTTCATAGAGAAAGGGGCTAAAGGGGTTTTCTACGCACAATCATTCACCTTTTCCCCCTCTCCAAGTTGTTACTTATAAGAGATTCCAAAAGCATGTAAATGATGCTAAATCGTGTTCTCCCTTTTACAATTTATTCTTTAACTAAAACGGTTCTGTATCTATTTTATAACTAAACAACAATGTTGCCAACCTCAGTTATTAATTAACCATTGATAGCTCATGGCAGCTTTTTCTTCCTCCTTCCCTTTCATTGCTGTGGCTTTTCTCTTACCTTTCCCTCCTCAATTGAGCTGGTTCCCATCATAATATACACATAAATCAAAAAAATTTCCTTCTTTGTTAACCATACATTTCAACATCAATCACTATTTTATAATATGTTTTTTTCAAATTAAAGGGCACAAACAGGCCCTTAGTTGGTTATAGAAATTTGATCTAAGTAAGCCATATTAGTGGAATTAAAATTTTATTATTTAGTTAATAAGTGTGATATGCGTGATTTTTAGTATTAATTTGAATATATTTTATTTGGCTTTGAGTTTCTTCTATTAATTAATTTGTGCTCGTTAATTTTATGTGTTTTCACTTTTAAAACAAATAAATTTGGCAACGATTGAAATAAAAAAAATTTGGATCGTTACACATCACACTATATATGGTGCTAGAGAAACAAAATACATAGCATAACTCTTACAAAATTAATGATTATTCTTGTAATTCCAATTGATTCAAGTATCAATATTACCAAGATGGAATATCACGTGTCTTTTCACATGAATAAGCTAGTCCTTCTCAATTCAAAATCGACTATATTAGCACATCAAGTAACCAGATGTCAACATCAAGAAGTATTGTTCGACTCTATTTTTTGACACATCATATTGAATCATAACCTCAGAACCATCATCTTCATCCAAGCTCAATTTGTCAAGACAAACATCTTCATTCAGACCGATACTCAATAATTTGTCTCTATCTATTAATCGACGAAAATTTCTTTTTCCCCACCCCTTTTTCTTGTGGGATTTAGTAGTCCATAGAGCTTCAATTATTAGGGTAGATGCCATGTATGAAAATCCCAATCTCTTAGACCCCTATCCTATAACCCGTAAAATTTCCAATCCCAACCTACACCAATGTACGGTGGCCTCCAATAAAATGCCTGCATGCGTGAAAAACCGTGTTGAAAGCACTAATGCATGTGGGAATATTTTCCTCCACATTCTGAAAGATAATAGTGAGTACTATAGTGTCAAAACATTTCACTTTTAATATGGGAACCAGCTCTGCAATAATTAGGACTGACATCAAATTGCCCACTTTCATTTTGACTTCTCACTACATGATATTATGTAATTTAATATTAAATTTGTATTTTAGTGAAGTTTATTATTAGTTTAGTGTATTTAGTGAAAGGACTATAGTGGAAGAAAATAATTTTTTTTTTTTTTTGTCATTATAGTATTTAGTCGTGTCAGTTGAAGACATGTTGATATCATACACAACACGAACAAGACGCACCATCAGAAAATGTAGTAACAACAGCATATTGGATGGAACACTTGCAACAATGATGATTAAAGACGATATAATGTACTGAAAATATTCTGTCGTCTTTTTATTTTTATTTTTAATACTGATGGAAGACTTGCAACAATGAATTCAAAACATATGATGGACCACCGAGGCTCATTTTAAGAAACAAAAGATCTAATCAATCGATCGTTCGATTCTAAATCCTTGTTATTTTGACCTATATAAATCAGCATCAGCAAGCTGTCATTTAAAAATTTGAGTGCATTAATCAGCACTATAAGTCACTTAAAATTAAAAATTGCAACAAATTACAAGTCAAAAAATGGTGATAGGTTTCAATCAACTCTTTTATGTGGATGTTTTGATTTGCTTAATTATTGTATGGATCAGTCAATCACATGTTTCTTTTACACTTTTCATTTTTGACTTTATATATTAAATAATTAATTTCTTTTGCCCTCATCACCTTGTAACTTCTAGAAAATTTGGTTTAGCTAAATCCTTCTTCGATGTAACTACGACAAAAAAATAACATTGCCAAAATGTTACAAGGAAATATTTCTATTTATTCATCAAAAGAGATATATCCATTTTGAAGCTAGAATTGATTTTCCTTGTTACCCAACATAACGCATGAATCCTAGAATAAACATAGAGTTGATCTGAAAATCCTTTACTAAAAATATTTAACTATGATTTTACTGGTCTTTCAATAACAAAGAAATATAAAATGTTTACGAAACTTAAAAAAAAAAAATAACGTACTTCGAACATCAAATAACTAGTGTTACAAAAGCCCTCTCAAAGCTTTGATAGTAAGGTTGTTTTTCTATATGAAATTTCTAGAAATGAAATATGTAACAATGATTAATAGAGAGACATACGACTAAAGTTATCTTTGTATTATACTATTCATAATTCAATATGCAAAAAAATAATAATAATAAAATAAAGATAAATATTTGTTAGAATAATGGGCAATATGTTAAATATTGATCAATTTTATGATATGTTCTGATGACTCATCGTTCATATAACCTAATCCCTCCAATTAATTGTAGTTGTAAAGAGCCAAATAAAAACCAACCAAGAAAATGATACTTTTGTACTAAAGGAACTTATTGGGACACTTTGGAAACAATTATGTTCTTAACAATTATCATAATCGAGTTAACTTTGGCTTATTAGAGAACTTCTAATATTCTTGATCGAGATTACTTCACTCTTTTAAACATGACCTTTTTAAATCTTCATGTCATACGATTTGACAAAATTTTATACTGATTGTCAATCTACAACAATTATCCTTTTTATCTGCACTTTGGATGACAAGCAGAGCTAAAATACTAATTGAACACACCAAAAATTTCATATTGAAACATCATCACGATCCACAATTGACTGTTTATGGGATCAACATTCATGCAAGTTGATCAACATTCAATTACTGTTCGAATTGCTATATATCTCCAATCAATCCCCAAACACCGGAGGTTTAGTGCATGATTTGATTTATAATTGCCACATTGTTAACTTGTAAACCTCATGCAATTTCATTGCTTAAACTGAGATTAGGTGGAGAAGATTATGGGCCACTATTTCTAACTTTTGTCATCATTTTCCTTTTCCTTTCCACTTACACCTTATATATATAAATGACCATATCCTCTACTTAAAATCCCAGAATTCTCCCACTAATTCTCTCTAGTTGTATACAATATACATACAAATTCTGTGTTTTCATTTCTCTTGATGCAATGATGCTGCTGCAGCATTATCCTGTGAAACCAGCACAAATGGCCATGTCTTATATGTTTGCTTTAATATTTGCAATGGATATTATAGTGAGTGGATTTAGATTTGGAGTGGATGGCTTGAGTATGAATTATTACATAATGAATTGTCCATTTGCTGAGGGAATTATTAGGAATACTGTTAATAGGGCTTTGCAATCTGATCCCACTCTTGCTGCAGGCCTAGTCAGGATGCATTTCCATGACTGCTTTGTTGAGGTTCTCTCTCTTTCAATTTCAAATTTTTTTTTTTTTTTTTTTTAATGAAATTTAGAGTCGTCTACGTGAATTCTTTTCTCTATGACACGTGATAAAGTTTTCTGCCAGACATGCTAAGGAAAAAAGAAAGCGAATAGTAGGAGTTGCACACCGCCAGTGGCCTAAGCTTGATCCCCACTGAAATTTGAGATCTTTGTTTACAGGACTTTTCTATTGTTTATAATATTATTATGAGCCTATTCGTCTCCCATTATGGGAGAAGTTAAAGAGTTTTGAATAGTATTTTTTGGAAGTGTGGTTAAAATTTAAAGAAATTTTATTGATTTGTGTGTAGAATATTTTATTGTATGAATGTCTGGTAGATAATGTTATTGTAGCAAACAATTTAATTTGTTAAATAATAACAAACAGGGGGTATATTTTGAGTTTGAAATTTTTTTCCGTAGTTAAACTAAGCCCCTGCTGGATCGAGTCCTCACTCAGCCACTTTACGCCGCTCTCAATTATTTAATGCAAGCGTGGATTCTAAGGTTTCTTCATTGTTTTTTTTTTCCGGAAATTTGTTGAAGTAGGGATGTGATGGATCAGTACTAATTGACTCTTCAAAAGGTAACAAAGCAGAAAAAGATTCCCCCGCAAATTTAAGCTTGAGGGGTTACGAAATAATCGATCAAGCCAAGGAAGAAATTGAACAGCAGTGTCCAGGAGTCGTTTCTTGTGCTGATATTCTTGCAATGGCTGCCAGGGATGCTGTTTTCTTCGTAAGATTTATAAAAACTAAACTCTCCTTTCAATTTGAGTCACTGAAGTTCGTTTTATTTTAACTTAATAATTTATGCTTATAATTCGATCATATTAGGCTGGAGGGCCAGTGTATGACATACCTAAAGGAAGAAAAGATGGAAGAAGGTCAAAAATAGAAGACACAATCAACCTCCCTCCGCCTACCTTAAACAGTTCTGAGCTTATGAGGATGTTTGGGCAGCGTGGTTTTACTGCTCAAGAAATGGTGGCTTTATCTGGTAAATAACTAATAATCCTCTCAAATTATAATCAAATTTTCAAAGATATATTGCAGTATCACTTTCTGACGGTGTGTTGATTTCTAGGGGCACACACACTAGGAGTGGCAAGATGTTCATCATTCAAGCACAGGTTGAGCAATTTTGACGCCACTAATGATGTTGATCCTACGTTGGACACAAAATTTGCAAAAACACTGTCCAAAACATGCAGTGCTGGGGACAATGCTGAGCAGGCATTTGATTCAACAAGAAACAGTTTTGACAATGATTATTTCTATGCACTGCAGAGAAAAAATGGTGTCCTTTTTTCAGATCAAACTTTGTTTGCAAGTGCAAGAACTAGAGGAATTGTGAATGGTTATGCTATGAACCAGGCTATGTTCTTCCTAGATTTCCAACAAGCCATGGTGAAAATGAGTATGCTCGATGTTAAAGAAGGGTCGAAAGGAGAAGTTCGAGATAATTGTCGTCTAATTAACTGATGTCTATGTAGAGAGTCGTTTTCATATATTTACGTAAATTGTTAGCATGAATGTGCTTTAGCATGTACTTCTTGAGAATCAAATCATTTTATGTAAAATTGTTAGTAAAAATAATAAGGGGATAATGAATCTTGACCCATCGTCTACATATTCTTGTGATTGGATTATGAATTAGTGAACGGCTCCAATTTCTCTGACTTGGACGTCATAATTAACCAATAAATATTTACATAACCAAGAATCTTTATATCCAGAACGCAAAAGTTCTTTTTTCAATATTTTCTCATCAATATCAATATGACTAAACACCGAATGTGCCAATGGATTGGTATCATCATATACGAGCATAACATCTACGTACAGTACAGAAATTATGCTTCTATTCCCATTAAACTCCAAGTATATGTATTGATCAACAAAATTCTATTGAGATAACTCGTGCGACAATCCAAATTATCTCCCTATATGACGACACACAGTGTCCGATTGAAAACGTCAAAAATCAAGAAACGTTGGGGTTGTGAATATGATTCATATAAAAAAATCGGATCACATTCTCCTGTTTCTTGCAGGTGATGGAGAACATTGAGGAGAAGGTTTCGGAAAAGGAACTCCTAAAATTTATGCAACAATTGATTTAGAAAAGGCAAGAGTTGAGAATGATAGAAAATGAACCTAAAAACCCAAAGCGGTATGAGTCCTTTCACTTATACTGTGCTCATATAATGTGAAATTTACTGTTAAAGGGAAGAGCTTATGGACCAGTTCATGAACTTTTGGAAAGGGAAGAAGTAAACCATTATGCAACTCCATTCTATATAAATAGCATTATTCAAATAAGAATCCTATATGATGCTACCAAAAATCGTACCTGCAGATTTTCCGAACTTGATGATTGATAAGGAGCACAAACGTGATCTTCTGATACCTGAAACAAAGGCAACGAGGTATGTTCTCGTCGCCCCTCCGATGCTTAAGTCAGAAAGGGAAAATATATGCGTGAGGCTATGTGCTGAAGAACAATGAGAAAACGTACCTGAATAATGGCCCAAGGTTCTGCTTTTATAGGAGTAGGTAGTGTACTCCTACTATGATTGTGTTGGTTGGATGTTTTTATCCAAGGGAATTTCTATTATAAAGAGTGTCCTACTTGTAATGGAATTGTTTGACAAGTGGTGTTAGGGTTGATGTAGAATCCTTGGGTGTTTAGATTTGTTAGTTAGGTACCCAGGTCTTAGGAGGCATGTTGGTGGTGTATGTCTCGAGGACTATTCTCGAGGACATTGAGGGAATGTAAATGTGTCCTCGAGGTATCTCGAGGACTACAATATCTCAAGGACTTAGGTGACCCCGAGGACCGAGGAAGAGAAATGAGGTGGGGGTATAGATTGAGTCCTCGGGATACACTCCTCGGGGTATATCAATATTGGCATAGTCA